CTCCATTCTCACTTCTCCATAATGCAGAGGCTGACCAGGCCCAGCTGCTGTTGTCAGCACGTTTCCCTTTTATTTAACTCTACTTTTGTCTCCCCTTGTTCCACTCCTCATCACACATATTTTCTCCTAGCCCGAGGGTCAGCAAACTTTTGGAGTTTCCTCACCTGTCAACCCTATTTCGGATCGCCCCGTGGTCCATAATCAGACCCGATCTCGAGCCCTTTTCGTCAATGCGTTCTCTCACTCCACTGTCTTCTTCGCCCTGCCTCCGAATCAAAGGCGGGCACAGCTTATACACTTAAGCTTTGCCTTTTAAAAAAACTATACTATTTTTTTCCTCCGCTGCAAAACATGTTTAAATATTTAGCACCCATATTCACAGCTGTTTGACACTTGTAATTCCTCGTCTTACAAGTCCCAAACAAACGGCACAGAAGATCACACAGTCGGTTGGAATCAGAGCTGTCATCATTATTCACTTTGACTCTCCCCCACCCTTATTGAAATAATAAGGAATCATCTGAACTTTGGAAAATGGTGATAGTAACCGCCCGTGTTTGATATTGAAAAAAGGCAGGAGAGTGAGGAGAGGAGTAAGAGGGGAGAGATTTCTTTTGAGCTACAGCTGCATTGTTCTGGGGCTCCCTGTTAATAACTTACTACTGACGACTGTTTCTTGATGCAAAAAAGCACAAGAAAAAAACACCACTTTCCTGTTCCTTAAGAAGAGCTTTGTTCAAAATGTAGGTGTCAGATGAAAAGGCAAACGTGCATCGGCAGAAGTGCTGGTGGATGCTCCAGTGCACTCTGCCGCACAGTATTTAACATACACTATACTAAATGTTTTTCTAGAAGGCGCCGAGTGACAATTATATACGATTTTGACAATATCCTCATCTTCCCACCTGTTCTTTTAAGTGCAAGTCTGCTTAAACAAGTTGCAGTTCAGTTTCTTTTAAGGATTTGACAATGGGGAGGGCAAACCCACTCGGGTCAAGCAGTTTAGAGTCACAGTGGGAGCTGGTACACACTCGATACTTGCTTGGAAACTGCTGACATAGACGGTTTCGGTGTTATTGTGGATCACGTGGGGTTTGTTTGGTTCTCCTGTAGATGAAGTCTTCCCATTGAATGTGACTACTTCTACACAGAGATGTTTAGATGGGATATTATGTGTTTCTTTTCATTATTTTTGATGCATGATGGCAGCATAGTTTCATTATCAGGGCCATCTTTGAGCTATTACTGCTGTCTTATAGGCTGAACCTTCACCCTGTGCCGCTGCTTTTGTCATTGTCAAATCGAAAAGCATTATTCTAATGATTGTACACATACCTCTCCACAAGCCCCCTCCTACTCCCCTCCCACCCCTCAGTCACACCTCCCAAAGCCACCCGCAGCCTCCCTCTCCCTTAGCCCTAAAGAAGACAGTGAGGGAGAAATAAGAATTCAGGAGCAAAAAGTGTTTGAAGTGGCTTTCCATCGCAAGCGAGTCTGCCGGCCGTCTCCCCGAGATGTGTCACCTTTGCCGAGAGGGAATAGGAAAATCACGTTTCGAATGGTAATGATAACATACTAATCATTGGAGCGCTTTGAAGAAGCCAGGGAGTATGTACTCTGACTGTGCCTGGCTCCTTCCTGTTCCCCGCCACACAGGGACTGCTGCCATGGTCGAGGTGTGTTAGCAAACATGTAGCATGTCTATATGCCCCCTCCATCTCTGCGTCTCTGTAGGCCCTCATTACAGACCAGCCATATTCTTTAAGACACATCAACAAGTCTGAAGACACTTCTAACCCTTTGTGGCCACAATACTCTATTTCTCCAACAACCAAATGAACAAGGCTCCGAGAAAAGTTACTTTCAAATGCAAAAATGAACACTTCTAACAAGATATTTTTTATTTATAGTATATTGTCCCTGTGGGTAAATTTAGATTGTACCTCTGGGCAAACTGTCAGGAGCGGATGGTGACCGCAGTGCAACGCCTGAGGGCCCTTCTCCAAGTCTTGTGTCAGGATCTTGGTCAAGAATACGTATCTGGTTGTTAAAGCTAAATGTGCATATTCTGGACATTTTTGATAGTGTTATTTCCCTGACGGATGCACCTAACACGTCTGCCATTACCCCGACCCGACCCTTCCTCCGTCTGCACCAAAGAACCAGCAGGTGCAGCTTGGGTTTTCTCATCACCTCCTTTTTCTTTCTTCTTCTACTACAGCCCTGTTTCACTAGCCATCTGTCCCCATGCTTTCGCCTCTCCCTCCATCCTCCCCCTGCCCTCCCTTTAACTATTAAAAAGTATCTCTGCAATTTTAAATGACATCTGTCAGCGGGCGCAGACAAGACGCAGCGCCAAGAAAAGAGTTCTGAGGCAGTGTATCTCCACCCCGCTCTTTTCCCATCCCTCTCATTGTCAAACTTTGAAAAGTGTGTCATTGACTTTTTCTTATTCCTTCCACCATGCGTTTCATTTCCTCAGAGTGATTAGCTGGTGCGTATTTTGACAGCCTAACCAAATCTTTTCCCCCCTGTCCCCTTTCGTTCACGGGATGAGTCTAAACTGGTGTCAAAGAGGGAGGCTGTCATTCTCGGGCTTGTTTTTGATTGTCAACTCCGTGTTACATCAGACCAGCTACTTAATATTAGAAAAGGCCATCAAAACCAACAGTATTCAAGTAAACATCACCGTCATTCATGTCTATGCTGTTTATGGGGCTCCTTTTGAAAGCATCTAGTTTTGATCAGATTCTGGATGAGCAGTGGGCAGTGGTAATATGAACTCTGCGGTTAGAAAGTCGGCGTAAATATCCCATAAAACATTCAGAGTATTATTTATTGACTTTCTTCATTTTGATTGCAACAACCAAGTTAATGCAAATGTTTTTATTTATTGCACATTTTACACAGAATTTTTGACACCAGCGTAATGGTAAAAGCATGGAATTAGAAAGTTAGTACCATATCCACAATTTTATATGTAATTTTGGGGATTTACAGTATTTCATGGCTAAAAGAAATGTGTTCTATCTTTCAAGCTCAAGCTATTTTCGAGGTGTTGCAAATTACAAATTCCCAATGATGTTCTAGGTTCATTTGGTTTTCTGATTCTACAAATTGATTAATTTTGAAGACCAAAGCGTTTAGTACCTCATACCATGACTATTAACCGGGACTTGGGGCCTTTTTTACTCTCTCACACCTGGGATTCGGTCCCGTCCTGAAGAAGCTGGACTGCAGATGGCGCCGTTTCCTACCTGACATGACCACTCAAAGGAAGACTGGAGTCGAAACTGTCAAGTACCGAAAAAACCACTCGGGTCTCAAAAAATAATTAACTAGTACAAACGGAAGCAAGTTCTAGCACTATGATTGATTGACACATTATCGTCTCAATAATAAATGCATAATACTCCAAAAATAAATGCATTATCTGTCAATATTGCCCATTTCAACACATGGTAACAGTACGTTTTATTATGATAATCCTGACAAAAAACTGTTTTCCATCAAGACTTCTACCCAATTCAATTTAAAGCATTCATTCGTATCTGCATGCATTTTGTCTTGCAGTAGAGAACAAAGTACATCTCACACAAGAGGAACAATCCAATTTAGAAAATAACAGTTCCATCTCAATACAATGACCTTTGATCAACGTGGACCGCACAGTCCGTCCAGCACCTGTGGATGAAGTCTTATTAAATAGTGAATCAATTAAAGGAAAACAAACAGAAAATCCTCATTAAATCACAAGCAGAGCTGCCCTGCGCTTGAACAACACAAAACAAACCATAATTTATGATGTTTGAGAGCCCCAAGGTGAAAGTCAAGGCCATCAGTCAAAGCACCAGACCTTCTCATGCCTCAGATGTCCACCATGAATAGTTAAGCACGAGAGAATCTTGCTTTTCAGGTATCATAGGAACCACTCACTGAAGTTAGTACACCTGATATTAAAGGCCGACTTTACTCCATGATGGTCACAAACATCTACTTTGAAAAAATGATCAAATTGCCTTCTCAATAATTAATGAAACACATCTTTTTCTTGATATGCTGTCTGGATCTCTGGCTTTCACAGGGCAGCCTTGTCAATTGTTGATTGCTGAGAGATACAAGCGGGACTGCAGTACTCATACATCATGGATTACTGTTTGGTCCACTGATGCGGATCAAGTGCACATACAATAGAAATATTATGGGCTATTCTCCGCTCAGTCGAAAAGAACTCTTACCATTCACTGTGGACAATCTCTATACAATATCAAATTAAAACCTTTGTCTGTGTTTTAGGTATGCTCCCTGTCTTCTGTATAGATGGAGAAAAAGCATATATACGTATGGCCCTTTACAGAATATTTGCCCTGTTCTCTGACCCTCTACGTCTTTGTCCAGTATCATAAACATCTGTTGTTATTTTTTGTATTGCTGGCCCCCTCAGCTAGAAGTGGGATATTTTGTTTACCCTTTTCAACTTTTTTTAGTCATAATTTGTTGATGTTATGAAGCGTCAGTCCTTCATCAAGGCTGTATTTGCTGATGTTACTTTCATTGCAGCCAGTTGGACGACATTACTTACCCTGGTACTTTTGACTGAACTAAACCAAATTGCTTTTTTTTCTCAACTGGCTCCACTTTTTATCCTCAATTTTGTTTTTTTTGACACGTCTAAATGGCGCGTTGTAAACAAAACAAGTCAGCAACAGACCTCAAAGTATTGGCTTATGTTTTATGTCCAAGATGAGGAGACGGCACCTTTTCCATTGTCATCCCACAACATGCAGCCGCTTGATATTCCATCAACATATAACACATTGTCATCCATGAAGGTTATTGCCAACCTGGCCGTATTATGTTGTGGATGTGCTCTGTCTGTTTAGGTGGCAGTGTTGATGTGGTTCTTTGAAATGGCTCCCAGTCCCTTCTCAATCAATTATTTTTTGTTTGTTTCTTTGGCTTCACTGAATCTTTTTTCCTCCTTTCTCCATTTGTTGCAGAGAGCGCATCTGTTGGACAACACAGAAAGGCTGGAAAGGTCATCGCGGAGACTCGAGGCCGGCTACCAGATAGCGGTGGAAACGGGTATGTATTTAGGCTGGGGATTGAGTTAGGGGGAAAAAGGAGACGAGGTGGGCTGGTTGTAAGATAGTGGCAAGGATGAGTGAGCGACAGCAAATTGTCTGGCTCATATGTGTTGGTGGGTGGATATGTTTGCGGGGTGTAGCGAAAAGGGAGGGTTGGAAGGAAGAAATAGTATTTTCCTTGACGGTTGATGACATTTTTGGGAGCACATCAAAGGTAAACCAGTAGGAAAGAGAGAGGTGTACAGGCGACGGATCGGGCGCCGCTTCTAACCCCCCTCCCCAAAAAAATCCTGCATCAGAATCCTTGCACGTGTGTGTTGGGTAGTTGTATTCTTTCCCCCCCAACAGACGGGGGGGTTGTGCAAATAAACAACGTCAGCGTTCTTCTAGAAGTTCTTAATTCACTCGTGCGGGAGGAAGAAAAAAAGTCTTTCTAAATAAAACTAAAAATGCACAAGCTTCTTTTCATCCTTATCAAGGTTGTTTTTTAATCTTAAAATAGTAAAAGGGAAGGCTCATTGGGATCTTAAATAGATGTAACCAGTTAGCATATTTCTGCTTCCTGTCTTCCTTCCTGACACTCCCCACATTATTGAGGCGAAGAGTATTCCTCAGAGATATATCAAAGCTCATTCTTCAAGTATCAACCGCCTTTCTCTGGCTTCCGCTGTAGTTTTGAAAAAGTTAGTCAATTTACACTATAATCGCCGGGTGGCTGGCACACGCGACATCAACCGATTTAATAATTCAAGTCAAGGAAGGTTCGCATGCGGACCACAGGCTTTTGATGTTTCCTGCTTGTGACTCGCAAATTCATAAATGCAATCTGCATTCTCAGTTTAAAAATGTTGATTCGAAGATGTGTTGAGATTCTGCGACAGCCCTAGATATTTCAAAATCTTCCTTGTTATTCTGACTACAACAGGAATAGGGCATAATAATATCACCTCCTGGGTTTGTTCGCTCCAGCTCCAGCCTCAGTCCACTGCGTCACCTTTGACCACATGTCACCAGTGGCTGCAGCTCAGAACAATTGTGGTTTATCTGCGCCGCGGTGCCACACACTCGGCTGCGTCTGCTCCAGCTGTGGGTTGTGTTGGTGGGCCGTTGTGTTAAATCCCTGACCCCGTCTTTAGCTCGCTGTCCACTCCAGCCCTTCGCTCAGATGCACAACCTGAAATACCCCTGTCCATGATGCAGACAGGGCCAGGCACAAAGGAGGCAGAAAGTGAACACATTAGAAATAAGCATCTACACTCTGCAATATATACTTATCCTGTTTACAGTTTTGTAGTATTTTAAGCCAGGGTGTGTTCTCAGTTAATGGTTTGGTCTAGTGCAATTACTTTTACTTTTACTTGATGTTTTGGACATGGTTTCAATACATTTTCTGCTGAAATTTGCTATAGTTTTGTTGCCGTCTTCTTATATTCGTACCCATACTGGAAATCACTTGTAAATCATTGGTGTAAGCATTTCAGAAATGTATTTTCTTGTATTTTTTTAAGATATACAAAACTGACCACGCATTTGGATCAGTATTTGAAACCCTCAGAGGCTTTGTTAAGGCAAGGCAAGGCAAGGCAAGGCAAGTTTATTTATATAGCACAATTCATACACAAGGCAATTCAAAGTGCTGAACAAAACAAGAAAGCATTAAAATCATAAATTATCACAGAACATTAAAAAGAAAGATAAAAATATAAAATCCCTCAGTTGTATGCACAGTTAAACAGAACCGTCTTTAACCTGGTTTTAAACATTGTCAGAGAGGAGGCCTGTCTCACATCTTCAGGAAGACTGTTCCAGATTTTAGCAGCATAAATCTGAAAAGCAGCCTCCCCATGTTTAGTTCTGACTCTGGGCACTAACAGGAGTCCAGTCCCTGTGCTCCTCAGAGTCCGGGCTGGTTCATATGGGACTAACATGTCACTAATATATTTTGGTGCGAGGCTATGGAGAGACTTGTACACAAGCAGAGCTGTTTTAAAGTCTATTCTCTGAGCCACAGGAAGCCAGTGCAGAGACCTGAGGACTGGACTAATGTGGTCGTACTTCCTGGTTCTTGTCAGGACTCGAGCTGCTGCATTTTGAATGTACTGCAGCTGTTTTACAGCCTGTTTGGACAGACCTGTGAGCAGGCCATTGCAGTAGTCTAACCTACTGGAGACAAATGCATGGATAAGAATCTCCAAGTCTGCTTTAGACACTATGTTTTTGATCCTGGCAATGTTTTTTAGATGGTAAAAAGCTGCTGATGTTACTGATTTGATGTGGCTTTTAAAATTTAAGTCTGAGTCCAGTATTACCCCTAGATTTCTGACCTTGTTTGAAGGTTTTAGGGAGAGAGACTGTAGGTGACAGATGACGCTCTCTCTTTGTTTCTGGGGACCAAAGACAATCATTTCAGTTTTGTCTGCGTTTAGCTGAAGGAAGTTGTTTTGCATCCACTCACTGATCTGTTGGATACAGTGAAGGAGTGAGTCCACTGGTCCATGTTCTCCTGCAGTCAGTGAGACATAGATCTGAGTGTCGTCTGCATAGTTATGATAGGAAACTTTGTTTCTGCGTATTAACTGACCTAACGGCAGCATGTAGAGATTGAACAGAAGAGGTCCCAGGATCGACCCCTGTGGGACTCCACAGGTCAGGGTCATATGATCTGAGACACAGTTTCCAATCTCCACAAAGTACTTCCTGTCTTCAAGGTAAGACCTAAACCAACTTAGGGCGGTGCCAGTGACGCCAACCCAGTCCTCTAGTCTCTGTAAGAGGATCTCATGGTCGACGGTGTCAAAGGCAGCACTTAGATCTAACAAGATTAAGATTGAGACTTTGCCTGCGTCAGTGTTCAGCCGGATATCGTTTGTAACCTTAACGAGAGCAGTCTCAGTGCTGTGGTGGGGTCTAAAGCCGGACTGAAACATATCAAATGAGTTGTTGATTATAAGAAATCTAGTAAGCTGTAGGTAGACAACTTTCTCAAGGACTTTCCCCATAAATGGCAGATTTGAGATGGGACGATAGTTGTTAAGTACAGTGGCATCCAGACTGCTCTTTTTGTTAATAATAGGGTTTGTTTGTATCTTGTATTGCTTTAGCTCAACAATGATACAACCTTCCCCTTTTCTTTTCAGTGAAACAAAATAATAGTTATGAAAAAGATTCACCACTTTTACTAAAATGGAAAATGTTGCACACACAGAGGTTGCATCCACAGACGTTTAACACAGATAATTAGAGTGTTAACGGTTTCACCAATCAGACATTCTCTGGTCAAACTATAAATACTTTCTCTTGCCAGAACTTCTAAGCAGGACTTTTTCATGTCTCTTTTTAACAGTGAACAGTTTGTTATTTTTCCCTAATTCAAAGTTGCATTCTCTATAGTCAAAATGACACTGTAGCCCTGAAAAACTGTAATTGACCAATGGAGGAAGTAGAACAAAAAGACATTTTATTTCAAAGAGCCAGATCCCGAACAAAGAGATCTCGTTGAGACTCTGCTCTGCCCAGTGACAATATCTCCCTTAATGACCAGGAACAGAAAACGCCAGATGCTTCTAGGTCACATTTAAGGGGGAAAGGGCCCAGAGTTCTGAGAAAAAAGGAATCTTCACACAGTAGCATTTTATCAGATTGAGCATTTTCTTCTACCATTCTGTGTGTCTCATGTGTATTTAGCATAAAACAAAGGCTTGCCAAAAGCAGTGAGCGCTCTCAGAGGGATGGAGAGGAGACTCTTAGGACACGCTGAGCTCTTTACCACATGCACCCCTGGAGAAGCACACTGCAGCTCTGTTTGTCTCATAAATAAAGTATACAAGTTCATTAGTGAGGAGCAGGGACTTAAAAAGCCCCGGCAGAGAGAGCAACAAGCACAGGCTCCGGCTCGCTCACTTAAGGAGGGAGGGACACACTTAAGCAATTTAAAGAAACTACAGTCAGGCCATTTACATGGGCCAGAGAGGAGCGGGACTGATGTCAAATCAAAGAGGAGAAATATTTTTGGTGCCTCTCTGCAGCTCAAAAAGTTTAATTATTTACACATTTTTCTTGTTTTCTTTTCACAGTAGTTGTAGAATTCATACTATTATTATCTGTAATATAAGTTATAATAAGTCTTACACATTATTATAACAAGTAGATCAGTGAATTACACCGAATTGATTATTTTAAATAGCTGTCACTGAATTTAGTATTCTATGAATAGCTTGAAAAGGTTTAATGACTCAGATAATTCTGTTTTTTTTATTCAAACAACCCAAAGAGTACCCCATTTTCTCTATTAAGCAGTTTTCCAGGCAAAAAAAAACATTTTAATTTTGGGATAATTTACTTATTTATTTATTTATTGACAAATGGCCACACATTTATAACCCAACATGTATGACTTTGAGAAGTACATGGAAGAAGGTGGTGGCGGTTTTGAATTACTCAAACATGGATACAAAAAATCAAAATACAATGGTGAAAATAAGCTAACGGTATAAGGATAACTGTTATTGCTAGAATCTCATTAACGCTGACTTTGCAGAGGACAATTGAATGTGGCTCCAGGGAAAAGGCCCATTTACTGTTATACCTGGTCACACTTTCAATGTGACCAGCGTAAGTCTGTAGAGAAAGGAACCCTGCTCATTAGGGATTGATGTCAGTCCTGTTTAGATAAGCAGAGAGTCGGCCTCCGGGGGCCAGAGGAGTCCAGCCCTGAGTTCACAACATGCAGGTGGAGAAGAGCACCGCAGGCAACAAACTTTATTAAGATGAGCCGAGATTGTCCGTCTGACGTGCCACTAACTGATGTCATGATCCCTCTTTATTTAGAAAGAAACTATTGAAGCTCAGACAAGCGACTGGTTGTGGCTCAGTATGGGGCCCTGTTGTTGTCTCTGTCTGTGGAGGCGGCCTGTAATGATGCGACCATTGTGTTTTCAGTACAGCGAAATCCACTGTCTATTAATTTCTTTTTAAATAGTACTGTTGGGTTGATGAGAA